GGACTTTTAAGACATTAGCAGTGGACCTTTTTGTTATTGTCTGTAGTTTCTTTGCGTGTGGTGGAATTCAATTATACAACTTTGCTTCATACGAATTTTCGTGTCAACTGGCATTTTGCCAGACTGCCGCTATTTGTTACAAGACAGAAAGCTTCAATCCTTACTCTCAATATAATATAATAAGAAGCATTACTTTCGGAGCGTCCGTCTGAAACCTTCTCGACCCAACCAAGAAAGGATTCCAAAGTAATTTCTAATGTTTGCTCCTGATTTTGGGGGACTGATAACTTTTAGCATCCTTTCGGATAAATCTGAAATATTTAAATGAAGGAGAAAAAGGAAATATAAGAGAAAAATAAAAACAAAAAACATTGAAAAGAAAGAAAGAAAGAAAGAAAGAAAGAAAGAAAGAAAGAAAGAAAGAAAGAAAGAAATAGAAATATCGGTAAGAAACAAAGCAAAGACAGAAAGAAAGAAAGAAAGAAAGAAAGAAAGAAAGAAAGAAAGAAAGAAATAGAAATATCGGTAAGAAACAAAGCAAAGACAGAAAGAAAGAAAGAAAGAAAGAAAGAAAGAAAGAAAGAAAGAAAGAAAGAAAGAAATAGAAATATCGGTAAGAAACAAAGCAAAGAAAGAAAGAAAGAAAGAAAGAAATATAAAAAAATGAAAGATAAAGAAATATCGAGAAAGGTAAGAAACGATATGGAAAGGAAAATGACCCCCCCAAAAAAAGAAAAATTTAAAGAAAATAATAATAATAATAATAATAATAATAATAATAATAATAATAATAATAAAAGAAATAATAAAAGAATATTAAGGAAAAGAAAGGAAGATAAATGCAAAAGAAAGAAAGAAAGAAAGAAAGAAAGAAAAAGAAACAAATAAACAAACAAAAGGAGAGATAAAGAAAGAAAGAAAAGGAGAGACAAAGAAAGAAAGAGAAAAGCAAGTAGAAGGAAAAGAAAGAAAGTAAAGTAGATGGAAAAAAGAAAGAAAGAAAAGTAGATGGAAAAAAGAAAGAAAGAAAAGTAGATGGAAAAAAGAAAGAAAGAAAAGTAGATGGAAAAAAGAAAGAAAGAAAAAAGAAAGAAAGAAAAAAGAAAGAAAGACAGGTAGATGCGAAAGAAAGAAAGAAAAATGAAAAACTAGATAGAAAGAAAGAAAGTTGGAAAAGAAAAAGAAAGAAAGGCAGGTAGATGCAAAATAAATAAATAAATAACGAATAACTGAATGAAACAGAGTAAAAGAAAATATAGAAAGAAATAATACGAAATAGTAAGAAGAAGGAAATAAAAAAAGAAAAATTGAATGAAATTAAAAATTTTAAAAGAAGAAATAATAAAGAAGAATATTAAGGAAAAGAACGGCAGGTAAATGTAAAAGAAAGAAAGAAAGAAAGAAAGAAAGAAAGAAAGAAAGAAAGAAAGGCAGGCAGGTGGAAAATAAAAAATAAAAAAAGATGCAAAAATAAAGTAGATGCAAAAGAAAGAAAAAAGAAAGAAAGAAAGGAAGAAGGAAAGAAACAAAAAGTCGGAATAAACAGCAAAAAAAAAAAAACAAACCCAAAAAACAAAAATAAAAAAACAAACAAACGTCAAGGGTAATCAAATTAATAATAATAAAAGGAGAAGAAGTTAATTTACTGTGAATGAAAGACGATAAATGATGTTTTGAATAATGTGATGGCATTCGTCTGGCATTTCGTTCTCATCAACCATAAATGCCGCCTCTTCAGTTGCTACTACTTCTACATCTTCTACTCCTACCTTTACTGCGACTACCATAACCACCACTTCTCCCATTGTTTTCTCTCCTACGACTGCTACTCCGAAACCAAACTCATTACTTCTCATACTTCTCTATCCAAATAGCTGTTAACTCCACCAATGAACATGTCCTCCGGTGTTAGTAATATTTTAGTGTTATTCATAGAAAAAAAAAGGACCTTTTTTTTATACGATACAGTATCTGGGAGGATTACGTGCACTTCAGTAATGGAGGGGCGGAAACCATGGTTCATAGTATAAAAAAAATCGATCGATACTTGTATTCGTATAAAATAGAACAAATAAAATATCGTACGTGTAAAGAAAAAAAAAAAGATCTGCTACGGGTGGAGTTTTGAGTGCTGTCATCAGGAAAAATCCTTGGCACCCAATATAGTTACAATTCATCATTTTACCCAATAAATAATGAAAACATTTAAATATCCACAATAAGGGGGTCAATATGTCTGTAACTTGATACATTGATGAGCAGCAGAAGTTTGATCTGAAATTCTCACTGTATAACGTTCGATCGACGTGGTTAATTTTCGACAAAGAATTAAGTGTATTATCTAATGAAAGGATTAAAAGATTATCCACTTTATTTAGCGTACTTTTATTCCCCCAAATAATAACTACAATAAAAATTAACTTGCGCTTTATACACCGGTAGTGGGATTTGGGTAGGGACCTGGAGTAGAATTTGCTGGTATTAGACCAATAGCCGCAAATATCCTATCTACTACACTCGAAGGCTTAATTAAAATATACACGATTATAAATGATTAAATAATGATTACAAATAAAAATAATGCTTGATACATTAATAACATGGTGACCCAAGAATTAAATATATAATTATATATTATTTCTAATGTTTACTCAAAACAAAGCTCGAGAAACATTCAAGTAGAGTGTTAATGTATGATGTTGCATGAGCGTAAGAAAAGGAGACTCCAAGTAGAGGGTTAATGTATGATGCTCTTTGAGCGTAAGAGAAGGAAACTCCAAGTAGCGGCTAAATGTATGATGTTGTTTAAATGTAAGAAAAGGAGACTCCAAGTAGAGGGTTAATGTATGATGTTGTTTGAACGTAAGAGAAAGAGACTCCAAGTAGAGGGTTAATGTATGATAATGTTTGAGCGTAAGAGAATAGGAACACAAACTAGAAGGTTAATGTACGATGTTGTTTGAGAGTCTTACTATATGGAGGTGTTTGAGTATAAGAGAAAGTCACTGAATATAGTGGATTACTGTACGATGTTGTATGAGAAGGATACCGCAAGTAGAGAGTTATTTTATGATGTATAATCGTAAGAGAAGGTCGCTCAATGTAGAGGCTTACTGTCTGAGGCTGTATGAGCGTAATTGAAGGTACTTCAATGTAGAGGGATATTATGTCATGTATGGACGTAAGATCAGAATACGAAAGGTAATGCTTTACTGTATGAGTCTAATTGAAAGCCGCTCAAGGTAGAGAGTTACTTTATCATGTTGTATAATCGTAAGAGAAAGCTACCCAAAGCAGAGAGTTACTCTGTAATGTTGTATGGGTGTAAAACAAGGCCACACGATAGGGGGTTACTGCATGTTTTTGTATGAGCGTAAGAGAAAGTCATGCAAGGCCCAGGGTTACTGTGATGTTGTATAAGTTAGAGAAGGCCACGTTGTGGAGGATTATTGAAAGATGTATGGACGTAAGAGAAGGCCGTAAGGCATAGGGTTACTGTATGATGCTTTATGGGCGTAGGAGAAGGTCACTCAAGGCAGAGTGTTACTCTATGATGTATGAGCGTAAAAGAAGGCCACACGATACAGGGTTACCGAATGATGATCTATGAGCGTAAGAAAGGCTACTTATATCAGAGGGTTAATGGATGTTTTTTATGAGAGAAAGCCACAAGTCAGAGGGTTACAGTATGATGAATGAACGTAAAAGAAGACCACTAGACACAAGGTGACTCTATGATATTGTATGAGTGTACGAGCCAGACGGCTGAGTTTTATGGAATGCTGTTGTAAGATTGTAAGAGAAGGCTACAAGGCAGGGGGTTACATTATGATATTGTATGAACGTAAGAGAAGGCTACAATGTACCAGTGGACTCTATGATATTCTATGACCGTACGATAGAGTTTCAATTCTCAGTAGTGGATGCGCATTGCTGACGAAACGACCGTTCTGCATTCAAATATTTCTATATTTCTATATGTATATCCTTGCTTGAATCGGCTTCTAATCCTCTGGATGGAGCGGCTTGGGGATAGTAGTGGTAGCTCGTGGGGGCTCAGTCCTATGGGTAAAAGAGAAACTCGGATGAGTTCCACCACAGAATATGTGATCGGCGCTATATTGAGTGAAATTCGTTACCTCTTCGATGGTACAGTTGGTATAGCGTTTGCCTCCTATCGTAACTGTTCGGGTTTCAATTTTCGCTAATGGATGTGATGAGTCCCAAATATAGGACGAAAGGGCCGTCCAGTGCTTTCTGCTGAGTCTTCTTCTAGACTCGATGAATTACTTAATTATGATTATTTCAAATCCTCCTAGTTTTATATATATATATATAGTATCCGAAATAAAGGTGTAGATGATGAGACAAATTTATTAACGAGGCATTTCACCGAGAGTGTCAGCTATCTTTGCTTCCTATGATAGTAAGCAAACGCCATACCAACTGTACAAACGGGCCTAGATGACGAAGAGGTAATTGCATTTAGCCAAATTCATCTATATTCGTTTATTTTTATTTTTCAAACCATCATCTTTGTTATTAAATATCCGAGATTGTAATAGCAGAATATCTGCTAAGAATGGTGAAATGCTGTAAGAACCTGATCGTAAATTTACTGTGGATAAATTAGCGTTAAAATCACATTCTAGACATTTTTATTTAGTGAATAAATTTTCTCTTGTAATTAGAGATAATATATTAAATATATATATTATGCTATGTTTTGCTAAATTCAAAATATACAGTCTGTCTGCTTCATTATTTTAATTATATTTTTACAATTTTATAAGACGTATATTTTGTCTTTTGCTCCCGGTCTTACGTGTTCTTCGCTATTTCTGAAGGCCGCTTGATATAATATACGTCTTACAAAAGGGTGACAGGAAGGCAGCCAGAAGAAAAATGGTGGCAGATAGGCAGGTAAAGAACTAAAATCCCAACTTAGTTGACAGCGCGACGCTGGGTAGTTTAGAAAAAAATAAAATAAAAATAAAGCGCGTAAGACAGTGCATTAAAAATGAAGAATAAAAAAAAAAGAAGGAATTTTGTTCGAAAAAAAAAGAAAAGTTGTTCAAGAATTTCCCACGCGACATATTGTTGCGATTTTGTCGTCATGTGTGCAAGTATGTCATGCCCGTAATTTGTGCATATTTTTTTTTTTTTGTCAAGCAAGCTGGCTGCTTTTCGAAATCGGCAACGCACGACTGAAAGTGTTCTGAAGACCCCCTCCGCCCCCCATGAGTTAAGCAGCAGGAACTGAACGCCTGACTTCTCTGTCTTCAACCGTTTCTGATAATCACGTTTTTGTTTCGCAATAAAACGCAAAGTGGAAGAAGGTCGATTCCAAAGACAGGAAGGAAACGCAGAAGGAAGACATTACCTCGACCGAATAGAAATTAGGAAGAGCAGACTGATATATATATATATATATATATATATATATATATATATATATATATATATATATATAATGCTATAGATAGAGAGACTGAGATAGACTGAGATAGGCTGAGATAGATAGACTCAGATATATTTCATGCGATAGCTAGACTGAGATAAACAGATAGATAGACGTATATAGATAGATAGACTGAGATAAACAGATAGATAGACGTATATAGATAGATAGACTGAGATAGATAACATAGGCTGAGATAGATAGACTTAAATATATTTCATGTGATATATAGACTGAGATAAATAGATAGATAGACGTATATAGACAGATAGACTGAGATAGATAGACTTAAATATATTTCATGTGATAGATAGACTGGGATAAACAGATAGACGTATATAGATAGATAGACTGAGATAGATACCATAGGCTGAGATAGATAGACTTAGATATATTGCATGCGACAGATAGATAGACTGAGATAGATAGATAAATAGATTAGACTATATATATATATATATATATACACACACACACACACACACACACATATATATATATATATATATATATATATATATATATATATATATAAAGATAGATAGATAGATAGATAGATAGACTGCTATAGATAGATAGATAGATAGATAGATAGATAGATAGATAGATATATAGATTCCTGTAAAAAAGTCTACAAGTTCCAATTCTTACCTTCTAAACTACAACAATGAATGCCCTGGAAACATAAAACTGCTATCCTTAATAACCGAATCCAAAGTGCTAAACTTAATTCTTTATCTAAATAAATTTTCCTTAAAGTATTAAATGATATAAAACAAATATTTATCAATAATGGGCACCCTTAATTATAAAGACGATAAGCAAATCAAATTTCATTTAAATAACAATTTTCATCAAAAATGTACCAAAATTACAATAAATTCAAATAATAATCAAATGTACCAAAATTATAAAATCAAATAATAAAATAATAATCAAATGTACCAAAATTACATAAAATCAAATAATAATAACATATAATAATCAAATGTACCAAAATTACATAAAATCAAATAATAATAACATATAATAATCAAATGTACCAAAATTACATAAAATCAAATAATAATAACATATAATAATCAAATGTACCAAAATACATAAAATCAAAAATTACATATAAAATCAAATAATAATAACATATAATAATCAAATGTACCAAAATTACATAAAATCAAATAATAATAACATATAATAATCAAATGTACCAAAATTACATAAAAATCAAATAATAATAACATATAATAATCAAATGTACCATAAAAAAATTATATATAATAAAAATCAAATAAAATCAAATAATAACATATAATAATCAAATGTACAAAAATTACATAAAATCAAATAATAATAACATATAATAATCAAATGTACCAAAAAATTACATAAAATCAAATAATAATAACATATAATAATCAAATGTACCAAAATTACATAAAATCAAATAATAATAACATATAATAATCAAATGTACCAAAATTACATAAAATCAAATAATAATAACATATAATAATCAAATGTACCAAAATTACATAAAATCAAATAATAATAACATATAATAATCAAATGTACCAAAATTACATAAAATCAAATAATAATAACATATAATAATCAAATGTACCAAAATTACATAAAATCAAATAATAATAACATATAATAATCAAATGTACCAAAATTACATAAAATCAAATAATAATAACATATAATAATCAAATGTACCAAAATTACATAAAATCAAATAATAATAACATATAATAATCAAATGTACCAAAATTACATAAAATCAAATAATAATAACATATAATAATCAAATGTACCAAAATTACATAAAAAGACAGCAATAAAAATCATTATATATAGATATATAAACCCAGATTATAAAACTAAATATATTAGCTTTATTATTTATTACAAAAAAAATGAACTAACAAGTTCGTTATTAAAAATGTTATGTTCCAAACTTCCAACCATGTACATAAGACCAATTTTGTGTATGAATATACTTGCCCAATTGTTTCTCTATAAATAAAAAACCTAAAATTTCTTACATAGAATATACCACAACCACACTCTCACGAAGATTCTCCTGCCACCTATCAGACCATAGTGCCATTAGACAACAATTATTATAACCAAAGTTCGTTGTCAAATTTCTTGAATTCTCCTATACTTGTATTTCGATTGGACATTCCAGCTTATGTAGCAGCGTTTCCCCTAGCGAGGGGTGTTTGATTGATTTGAATCTTTTAAAACTCTTTATTCTTCATTCAACACCATCACTTGATAAGACACCTGAAGTGTTGAAACAAAACAGCATAAAGACCATCAAAACATTCGACAGCTACTCAAAAAACATAAAAATACTAGCAAATAAGAAATAGTAAAAGATTTATAATCCTTGAAGCAATACACATTCAACAAAAACAAACATTATTCAATAAAAAATCAATTAAAACTTAAAAAAACCATCTATAAATGTATATAAAACGTAAGTCAAAATTTGTTTACGACACTCATTGTTTACGTCAAACTCTTTACCTACGTCACAACACTATTTGTTTACGTCACAACACTGCTTACCACAACACTGTTTACACTGCTTACGTCACATAAATCTTTGTTTACGTCACAACACTCTTTGCTTACGTCACAACATTCACCAGTTCTATGAAACTCATCAATTGTCTCTACCTACATCCGATGTTGACTTCAGAATGTCAAACGCTTCGACCATATTTCTTGAACTTTTCTTCTGAAATGGACTTCAGACAATTTCGGACGGAAATTTACACTTCAACGTTTTCTGACGGAATTTCAAACCTTCAAGGATTATTCGTAATTTAGAAAAGTTGGTCATTAAAATTAATAGAAACAACATATCTGTTGTTCTTATATATATATATATATATATATATATATATATATATATATATATATATATATAATTATTTATTCGAAAATTATGACATAAATATGTTATAAAATCACTGTAAAAAAATAGCCATTTTGTTTCAACACTTCTGGTGTCTTATCAAGTGATGGTGTTGAATGTAGAATAAAGCGTTTTAAAAGGTTCAACTCAATCAAACACCCCTTGCTAAGGGAAAACGCTGCTACATAAGCTGGAATGACCAATCAAAATACAAGTAGATGAGAATTCAAAAAGCTTGACAACGGACTAAGGTTATAATAATTATTCTATTTTAGTCTAACCCTAACATTAAGGAATTAAATAATTATTATAACCATAGTCATTTTCGAATAGATAATTATATTTATAAATTTGGAATAAACAATATTTGTTCTACTCTGTATTGAGCACTCTTCTAAGAATAGTATTTGTTGGTTATTGGAATTTATTCCGTATACACCAGTCCTATACTTGGATATATATATATTTTTTATATATATATATATATATATATATATATATATATATATATATATAATCATCCACAGACAGTCCGGTTGTCTCTAGTAAGATCGAAACCCGACTGAATTAGCGTCAGTCGGGGTTACCACTAAGCCGTTGGCGTACGGCAGGGATGAAGGTGAAATTTAAGCGTATTTATTTTTAGGTAAACGCAGAGTAACTGAGAGAAGTCGATTCGATTTACCTAAGATTATTGCATTATTAACCGTAATAGTCACTATTACGGTTAATAATGCAACAGTTACTGTTTACAAACTCACACTTCCTCCCCAGAGAGTTCAACCGAATTAAATTTTTTCAGGGCATATATATTGTCATCCACAGACAGACTGTATCACAGCTCATATATATATATATATATATATATATATATATATATATATATATATATATATATATATATATATCCAGGTAATAGGAGAACGAATAGAAAACAATTCCAACGTTCGTAATATTTAATATAAAGAGGGCTCAATACAAAGAACAATATTATTTATTTTAGGATATTACATTGAAAACATGTCAAAATTGCTACACAATTGCAGTCGTATTTCGATGCGTATCAAATGCATCTCATCAGACGATTGTAAATGACTGGCGTATGAACGCTTTATTTAGATTTAAAAGCAAAATAGAACGTCTTCTCATGAAAAAAGTGGCCTTTACTCAGATCCACCAACCGAATATGACCTACGTTATATTTAAACTCAGAAACAAAAATTATTTTCTATGAATGGGTCATGACCCGTAGACTAACAGTCAATGGCAGCACAGACGTGAAATATGGACGGATGCTAAAAGATACATATTTTAACACAATGTCATTTCATTAGAAAAATGAGATGGAATGGTAATTTAACAAAATGTTAAACAAATTATATGCTTTGTGAGTTGCCTACATCATTTTTATAGTTGATAAATAAATAGCTTCTTTGAGAAACCAGTAAATAATTTAAAAGTATAGACTTACCTGGTAAATTAATATGCAACTGTTGAGTAAAAATTCTTTATATAAGATGTTGATAACAATAACCACTCAATGCAAAATGCCAAAATACCAACCAAATACCAATACATAAAATGTTACTAACACTACCAGGAGATTAATACAAGATTATAATAAATCTAAATTAATCTTACCGACAGAAAGATAAGCCATATATGATGCAACACAGTTCTTCTAAAATGTAAGAAAAAGGTCAATTTTAAGTCTAACTGAATTTTAAGGTAAAAGATAGACTGTGTTTAAAATTTACCGTTAACTCAAATCTTTGGTTTAATAAAGCATTCTTACGAAAGACCTGATAATTTTCAATTTTTCATGTAAACATGGAAAACAAGGTTTATATAAGGATCTACATGTTCTTGCCATTGTAAAAAATTTCCGTTTCACCATAAGAGTTTTATTATCGTCATTCAAACTCCAAAAATATTTAGAAAGTGATGTATTATTTCTATAAGTATTATTAGTAAAGGACAAGATATAGTGATTCCACCTAGTCTTGAAAAAATTCTTAGTACTACCAATATAGAACTTTTCAACCGTCGGATTTTCTTTAGAGATAGAACAAAGATAAACAAGAAATTTAGTTAAACATTTGTTTGGCAATGGGCATTGGTCAGGATTCCTACAATTACAGTGGCTAGTATCATTAACGATATTTTCCTTGGAACTTGAATTATGATTCAGATTATTAAATTGGTTTAAAATTTTATTATTGTGAAACTTTATGACCTTCTCAAGATTATTGGTGCCGCTATGACTTAGTTTTAATGTGTTTATGATAAATATTTTACTAAGAGCGTTACTTTTAGGAAAATGTTTATCAATAGGAGGAACTTATGGCCTAACTTAATACTAACTAATTGATTAAATGGGGGCGTGTACCAAATGATCTTCCTATTTATATTTCTTTTCTTTGAGGCAGTGTCTTCATAATTTCTAAACTTGATGTCAGCGCATTTATAACCACTATGTGGAACTTTATTATACAAACTGCTATATTTATCAAACACATCTTTGTCCTATGAGTGGTTACTGATCCTTATTTCTACTGACGAAGGTGTATGTTGGATTATAGATGAAGGTTCGTCAGAATTGGTGTGAATATAAAATTGGGTTGACGTTATTTTTCATATAAGGCTGAAATATACCATCAATATATATATATATATATATATATATATATATATATATATATATATATATATATATATAATATCTTCCGGGAATACATTCCATTTTGGACCCTATTTTTGCTCAGAAGTAGATATAATTAATATAATATATATATATATATATGTGTGTGTGTGTGTGTGTGTGTGTGTGTGTGTGTGTGTGTGTGTGTGTTTGAACAAAATAACACAGTGAGAGAGAGAGAGAGAGAGAGATTTGAAGAGACTAAGGTAGATAACGATAAATAGGAATAGAATGAGATAGATAATATAAAATGAACTGTACATTCATTTTGGACTGTGTTTTCTCAGAACCTAAATATACACACACACATATATATATATATATATACACAGTGAACGCACACAGAGAGAGACAGACACGCATAACGATAAATATATATATATATATATATATATATATATATATATATCTTCACACACACACGATCTCTGCTTGAAGAAATCGGGCGTCTATATATATACTGAGGAGCTGATCATACAGTGAATCAATCTGTCTGAGGATGATTACATGATATATATATATATATATATATATATATATATATATATATATATATATATATATATATATAAAGGGTGAAATGCTTAAAAAAAAAAAAAAATATATATATATATATAAAATATAAAAGTGAACATTGAAGTCAAGACTCAGAAGCAACAGGCTGTTTCATTCTAGACGCAATCATCCAGCATGAAACAACCTGTCGCCTCTGAGTGTTGACTTCAATGTTCACTTTTTATATTTATATTTACACACGCTCTATCTCTGATATTGAGCCATTTATTCCATAAATATAGCACGCCTTAAAACTATATTTCATATATATATATATATATATATATATATATATATATATATATATATATATATATATTTATTTATACCGTAATTCTTTGCGTATATATCACTAAGTAGTATAAGACGCATTTAATTGTGACTTTGATCTGTTATTTGGCCTTGTTAATAATAAAGCGCACACAAGAAAATTATTGCGCATGCTTTTTTGTAAAATTTATATTTTGTTTTTCATGTCTCTGTAATAAATATTTCGTCCTTTCAAATTTCACATCGGAGTTTCCAATGTTGATTGTTTTTGCACGCGCCTTTTTCTATTATTGGATCCAGAGAAGTGACGTTCTTTCTTCCCCATTTCGTCCCAGGGAATAAATCCATTTATTTTACAAAAAAAAAAAAAAAAAATGTTAATTCCTGAACGCAAAGAAACTAAATTTGTTTTCGTTCAGACAAGACTCGACTTTGTGAAAAATTACTGTCTGCTTAGATAACAGTTCTTTAAAAATATATGCGTTAGCAAAATCTTTTTTTAAAATTTTTTTTAAACAAAACAGCATTTCCAATTAAGGCTAAATTCAAATTTTAAAAGTAAAATGCTGCTTTTATTTTCTGAAATTCCATATTGTCTTTATTTTCCGTCTTGAAACTGAACTAACTAAAACATATGTATATCAATTAATTCGCTAAAAAAGAGGATACCATAATGAAAAAATGCCCACAACAAAGTTTAGTCAGAATGTTATTATTAAGAGGAAAAACCAAAGTATTTTTTCATTATGTAATTATATTTTTGAATCCTCTGTAGAACGTTCGAAATTCTGGTATATAAAAATTGTTTTACTTGCGCCAGAGAGCGGACTAAAAATGAACACTGCAATTTTTAGCTGCTCTCTTTCCGGTGAAAAAACACGAATTTGGAAATCCTTGCAAAAATCAAATAATAGTCAGGTTTTAATGAAACTTTCAGGAATTATTCACAAATAAATGAAACTATTTTAGAAATATTTTTGATTAGAAAATTTTGGCAAAAATATTTTTTTACATCTGTTAGCACCAACTCCCACCACCACTTATATATTTTATGAAATTTCAAGAAATTAAAACTTGTAAAGCTTAATGTTTATATAAGCTAAAATCAGAATTCCTTGGAGAATTGAAATCATCAATTACTTTTTTGTAAATCAAGACCCCAGTTGCCGAAAATCTGCTCTGAAACGTAAAATAAAAAATTCAATAAAACATTATTCAATATGAAAAGCTTTTAATTGCTTTTATTAATCAGATACATCAAGGGCACTTATTGTCATTAGAAAAAAAATCGATGAATAATGAATTTTACAAGAATTGTTTTTATTTTCTTAAAATTTTGATTAGAGTAATTTATAGTTTTAAACATTTTAAAATTCTATATTAATTTATAAAGCTTTAGTGATTTGGTTATTAAGTAAAAAAAACAAACTATATTTACTAATCATAAATGGAAACGCTTACTACAATTTACTGACCGTCAGTATTTTAAAATGAATTTTGAATTGTTTTGTATGTGTATAAACGTGCCCATTTTTATAGATACGGATGTTCATACATGGTATTATTAGAAAATAAAAGGGGTAACAATAGTAAATTTAAAGCCAAACTATCAAAAATCCAATAAAATATTGGATTACGGAGAATATTTTCCGAACTTTTAAAGATCACTGAGTACTTAAGAATTATATGAAAAAGCTGCTCACGTTATATTCCTCAATTATTTTTACCGATATATCCACCGTACAAATCATTAGATAAATTTCCTATCTGTCATTCAAGCTGTTAATATGTCAACGACATAAATAAACAGATACATCCGTGTTAAAAATGCATTTCTGCGAGATTTTAAATTTAAACCAGAAATATTTATTTTAAATCAGATTAATTAAACTTCAAATAAGCTAATATTTCTCAAGTAAAGTTTCAGAAAAGTATATTCTATTTCTAGAAAATATTTTAATAAAGAGAATTACATTCTGATGAAAAGTTACTAAAATGGCGCTGAAATAAACAATTTTAGCAATTTCAGAACGAAAAATCGTTTCAGTGAATTTAAATTTGTTTTGAAATACAGAAATGTATTTTGCTTATGCGAAAAATTAAATTTAATCTATTAGTTTGATATTAAAACTAAAATAAAAGCTTCAAAAAAATTTTTCATTTTGAAAAATACATTTTAAAACTTAGATATCGCGAAACTGGGGAGGTATCTACTAAAATGTGTTAATCGTGGATTATCTTTAAAAATTAAACCGAAAAATGTGAAAAGTAAGATTTGTGCTTTTAAAATGATAATTGAAAAAAATTTCATAAAGAATTTTTAAAGTAAGTTCAGAGTTGAAACTGAAATAATTTTATGGTCGGACTTAACTAAACTGAAAATTGTTTTTTTTTTAATCTAAAAAATTCTACTTCAACGTTGAAACTGAAGAAATTTTTAAATGCAAATGTAAACTGCAGAATTTTAGGAATAGATTTCTACCTTTGAAATAAAATTACTTTAATTTAAAGGTAAGATTTTAACTTTAACTACAAGAATAAATTTCGAAAGATGATTCTGTAAAAATGGCCGAAATTTTTAAATTACGGAGAAAGCGCGATTTTATTAAGATAGCGTTGAAATGGCTTGAAGACTAAAGAAAATGTACCTGATGACCGTTACTTTCGACAGAAAGAGGCTATCACTAAGTGTGTAGAGACGACAGAATCTATTAATTATCAACTAGATGAGATTTGCTTTGATAATGATATTAATACGGAAGTGACTTGTAGTATTCAATGATTCTGTGAGATACTAGATAAATTAACTAAGATAGGATTACGTGTTTAAACTGATGATGATACTAATGTGACTAAAGTAGATAAAGTTATCTCTAATTTTAATATGTATTTTAGTTTCGCTCCCAAACTTAATTGCCCAAAATTTACTGGCGAATTCTGTGAGGACAAGTTTACCTTCAAAATCTACTTTACCCAATTTGAAAATTATAGGACAGGAGTAACAAGTAAAGGTGTTAAACGATAGTATTTGAGAGGATATCTGACATGTTCTGTTCGGTAGATCATTAGACATTTAACAATTATAAATGAGGTTTAGTTTGGTTTGGTCTGGTTTGTTATACAGCATATCATCCTCAATGGGTTATTTAATGCCGACAAAATTTTTATTGCTGGTAATATTTTTTTTTTCAAAAATCTATTGCTGCTAGAATTTTTTTTCAAAAAGTATTGGATTAAAATCTATTTTTATACTTTCATAGTGTTTGGACCCCAGGTTGGGGGTTAACTATTTGCCCATAGTTAGAACCCTAACAGGTGCTACCACCCCGGGTCGGGGTGGACCTGAGAACACCAGCAATTAAGAAGTGGTTCATCTCTCCTCAAAACCTGATCAGAGGCTTTGCTGTTGGACGTAGTTTATCGCCTTACCCAGGATATGGATTTAGTTTAACGTCATATCAACTACCCACGACGGACTTTTAAGACGGATCTACCCTGAAAATTATAGACCGTTCCCATTTTTGTAAGGTGGCAAACTCAGAAAATCAGCAGCAAATTAAATACTTATTTTCCCCACTATGCTACCGGGCTTTGCATCATTTGGTCCAGGACGGTTGACCACGTGATACTGAGCCATTGACCATGTGTTAGCGTTCTGTTGAACATTTTTTCCGTGCCGTGGTCCATTTTGCAAAGTGCCATGGACCATTTTGTACGACGTCTTGGAAACGTTATGTGATATCGAACCCCCAGAAGGTGGTGAATGCTGCACCATCTCCTTACAGATGAAGAAGAGATTTGAGGCAACATAAATGTGGTTCTACAGGAGGATGCTGAGAATATGATGAAAGAACATGTGAATTACAAATTGGAGATTGCTAAATCAAACAAGTACAACAATTTAAATATTTGGGAAGTGCTTTACCAGAGGATGGAAATTGCCACACTGAAATACGAAGGGGTAGCGAAAGATGCCTTTCAAAATTTAAGCAGCATAATATGAAACAGGAAAATTTCATTGAAACAAAGAAAAAATGCTGGACTTCTTAGTAATATTAACTCTTCTTTATGTTAATGAATACTGGTCAATCTCTTCACAGATGTAGAAGAGAACGGAGGGAACTTGAGTTGCGCGGTTCCACAGAAGGATGGTGAGAATTCTATGAATGGAGCACGTGAGCAAGTTTTAAGGAAATTGGAACAAAATGGACACATGTACGTAAAATCTGAAATTTCTGGGAAATATAATGAGAAAAGCGAGCTTGGAGAATTTGATACTCACAGGGCATGCTTGCGTTAAATGACTGACAGGACAGGGACGGGGAGGGATATTAAGTGGACAAACTTTATGTAGAGCTACAAAGGATGGTGTGGAGCGCCATATTAGTTCTCTGAATGCATAAAATAGAAAAAAGAACTGTTAATCTTCATCTTCCAAATATAACACTCTCTATACGAAACCCGAATTGCGTCTGTTTCCATATTTCAACAGGAAAATAATGCTATCCCGTACCTTTATAAGAGCCAGGTGATGCCGGTGTACTGTTGTCATATTTGAGCTGTGCCAGACTACATTTTTCAGGCTTGATAGTTCAAAAGCGTCTCCGAGTCATTGTTGGAGAAAAACTATTTTCTACATTACAACCTCTCCCTCACAGGAGGGATATGGCGAGCCTCTTACCCCTGTACCGCTACTACCATGGAAAGTACTCGGACGAACAAGTCTAACCTTCACGGCTAGGACCCGCCATGCTACTTACATAGTCGCAAATCATCCACAATCCCTCTGTATTCCATCGACAAACAGATTCTTCCCGCAAACCACTGCCCTGTGAAAGAGACTCCCAGGAGGATGTTTCCCCGATCACTACAATCTTAACCTGACAAGTCTAGACTTAACCGTTATCTTTTCCTCCTTTCCATATAAGATACTCCTTAACGTAACCCTCTACCTCGAGTGGCCCTTGGGTCTTGTACAGGGTAAAACTTACTGTAAAAAATGTATATCAAGTCAGGGTTTATATTTACTAAACCTCGCTTGAAACGAAGCCAGAATCTAGAGTAGGAAGATTATATCGGCTGTTGTATTCTCTGGCCTTCTTTAGATGTTTATTGCTCGAAGTAACCTTCAGGGAATTTCGAACTGAAAGAGAGAGAGGGGGGTGGTAAAGAAACGTGTCCAACTCAGTTCAGGTGAAGTATCAACCCATTGTCTTAGCATGCTAGTGCAGCTGCTATGGTTTGCGCAAGCAAGCAGGATTTTTACTGGCTGGAGTGGCCAGTCCAACTAGTTCTGAATTCAGTGTTATTCTTCTCCTAGACTGGTTGGCAACCAAAGCTTGAGTGTTCGCCGCGTCCTGCTATTTAAACCATAGATAGTGAGGAAAGAAAATACGGGACGCGGAAAAAATAACACCCTTTTTTGGGGTGCGGATAAAAAAAAAACAAGTTTTTTTATGAGTGCAGCAGATGTAAAGCCTACTTTTATATGTTGTCATAATTTTTAACTATATTAATTTTGATATTTTTAGTTTTATATCATAAAATTTTCTATGTATTTTACATTGTATAGTTTTTTTATTTCATGTATTTTAATAAACATCGCCATCCGATTAATGAATGGGCAAAAAGTTAAAGCCGTTCAACTTAATTACCAAAGTAATAACAAATTACTACCAATATTTTTATTCAACTTTATTACAAAAATAATAATTTAAAATAAAAACAAATAATAATTATAATAATAATAATGATAACAATAATACGAAATAATAATAATATCAAATAATAATGACAAATAAAATAATAGTGGTAATAACAAATAATAATTATAATAATATCAAATAATAATACTAAATAATAAAAATAACAATAATATCAAATAATAATACTAAATACTGATACCAAATAATAATAATGATGAAAATACCAAATAATAATGATAATAATACCAAAATAAAAATAATACCAATTATTATTAATAATAATAATAATAATACCAAATAATAATATAAAATGTTAATAATAATGCCAAATATAAATAATACCAAATAATAATAATGCCAAAATTATTAATAATAATACCAAATAATAATTGTAATAATAATAATAACAATAATATCAAATAATAATAACTATAATAATACCAAGTAATAATAACAAATAATAATACCAAATAATAATAAAAATAATACCAAATAATAATAATAATAATAATAATAATAATACCAAATAATAATAAAATAATAATAATAATAATAATAATAATACCAAATAATAATAAAAATAATACCAAATAATAATAATAATAATAATAATAATAATACCAAATAATAATAAAAAAATAATAATAATAATAATAATAATAATAATACCAAATAATAATAAAAAATAATACGAAATAATAATAATAATAATAATAATAATAATAATAATAATAATAATAATACCAAATAATTATAATACCAAATAATAATAATAATACCAAATAATAATAATAATAATAAATATTAATAATAGTTGAAAATTCTTCAAAAATCCCGTAGACGTCTTTCTTCAGAGTTGGGTATCAGTAATAGAAGTATTCGTAGACTCTTAAAGAAGCTTAAGATGAAACCTTACATCCCGAAGTTGTTACAAAGCTTGCCTCATGGAAATGTAGATAGACTATTAGAGTTTTGCGAAAGGTCAATGAAGAAACTTTTCTTGATAAGATTTGGTGGTCAGATGAAGCAACGTTTAAATTAATCGGACATATAAAGCGCCACGGGAGCCATGTTAAGCCAAATGATATCTTAGACAAAGATGTTAACCTACAAGGAGTGGCGGTTAGGGCCACCATTAAATCCATGGGAATAACAGGACTGATATTGTTTGATGGTAGACGTTAAATGCGACGCTGAGATCCGAAGACGTACTGGGATGGCCAAAGACGCATTCCAAAAGCTAAGCAGAGTATTACGAGACAGGTAGATTTCTTTGGTAACAAAGAAAAGAGAACTGCTACGTGACATCTGTCATCCTTTACGGCAGTGAATGTTGGGCAGTCTCCTCAAAGGTGAAGAAGAGACTCGAGACAACGGAGTTATGGTTCTACAGAAGGATGCTGAAGATCATGGACCGAGCATGTGAACAACGATGAGGTTTTGGACAGGATGCAAACAAGGAGGAAGCTTATAATTAACATTAGGAAGAGGAAGTTGAAATTTCTGGGACACGTAATGAAAAGGGGGCTTGGAGAATCTGATACTCACAGTGCGATTAGAGGGCAAGAGAGACATGTGAAAGCAACGCATGACATATCTAGCGGGCTAAAGCAAGTTGATGACAGAACATGGTCTGGGGGAAGTTGCAAAGGGACAAAACTTATTGAGAGTTACAAAGGATAAAGGAGACGTAGAGAGCCATGATCGCCTACGTCCTGAAGGGACACGACACATAAATGAAGAACACTGTTAATCATGCTACTTATTTACATATACAGAAAAGTGAATAATGGCTGAGTAAGAAATCAGAATGATATATATATATATATATATATATATATATATATATATATATATATATATATTGATTGAACAGGATGGCGCGCCGCCCCACTATGGTTTACACGTCCAAGAATGATTAAGTCTTAATTTCCAGCTGAGGTGGATAGGACAACGTGGAGCACAATGAGTGGCCATCACAATCAACAGACCTGGCACCACCAGACTTTTGTCTTGTTGGGTGGGAACTGAAAGATCTTGTTTACAGGCTTAAACCGAAAACAAATTAAAACAAGCAATTACTGGTAGATTTTCTGAGATCGATATAGAAATGTGTCAATTACATTGTGCAAGTGTTACTGAGAGGGTTCAGCGTTGTCTTGACACATGAAATTTGAGCATTTTCAAACATTTTAAATACGTTGATATTCATAACAAATCGTACTTGTTTTGACACGACAATACACCCTTGTGCAAATTAATTAAAACAAAACGAATAATTCCGTTATTATTTAATTTTTTTCGTATTTTTCCAATGAAACATGACCCAGTGCACATATTAGTACTTCGTATGTCTATTCTACGAAGTCGTTCCTTGTAGATTGACCAGAGATTCTCGATTGGATTCAAATTAAGAGAGTTTCCGGGCCAATCTATAGTACTTTGATTTACTCACTGGTAGGGTGTGTTCGTGCAGTGTTACAATTTTTGTATGCTTCCTTGGAGTAACGTCCATCGTAGACAATGGCCATAGGACAACTAATCGACAGCTGAGACAATAGTGTCTGGGTGTGATAAAAATCTGATGCAATCACGGATGACGTAATATTTTTCAATGCCAAACAATTTTCATCATATACCCCGAAAATAGATTCATATCACTTCACACCACTGAAAATGACGTAATCTGAGGAAAAAAAAATAGAAATCGATTACACCCTATCACTCCAGTGGGTCTAAAACTGACCGAATGATGAAAGAAAGGAAACTAAAGCGGTTTTTTTTCCAGTTAAATTGAACAAGGGTGTACTTATAAATTTTCCTAAACGACTGTGATGTATTTTTGTTGAATAAAAGTTAATATGCAAAAATAATGGTGCAAAAATAATGTCGTTTTTTGACGTTCAACTTAACGTCAAAAACGACATTATTTTTGCACCAACCTAATAAAATTTTTAAAAAAAAGGGAAATATTTTTGACACATTCTCTATATTATTACCTTTCTCAGGACAATTTCTATGAAGATGAGCTTAACAACTTCGACTGGGATTTGAATTCCTTAGGCCGATCAGACTTTCTGTGCCGATAAGCCCTACAGCATGCGCACATAAAAAAAAAATCGAACCGCATTGTTCTTTGCTTTATGGTCTTGTTACCACTGAATCTGTACGCGGATTGAACTCGCAATTTCTATACTATCATATCCACAAAACAACCTTTTTATCCTCTCGGAGTACCTAATAATTACAAAGCTAGACTGAGAACTAATTATTATTATTTAATTTTTTTTTTATTAGCTGCATATCAAACCTCTGTTGGTTATTTAATGCTGAAATCTGAATATTTTATATGCATTTTATTTATTATTATTATTATTATTATTGTTTCTGGAGATAATGATGGTTTTTGTTATACAAGTCTTACTAATTAACCCATAGCTGGGGGGGAGAAGAGGTGCATTCATACCTTTCCCAAGGCTATTTGTGCGTAAGTGGATATAACGAAACCAATGGGAATTTGAACCCGGCTCTCCGATTAACAATTCCGAGTCATTATCCTTTATACCACCCGCACATCCAATACCAGCACTTGGTATTTCCAAGCGGTCACCCATCTTGGTACTGACCAGGCTCGACGTTGCTTAGTTTTGATAATCGTACGGGAAACGGTGTTTCAACGTGATATGGATGTAAGCCGATGTAATTAGTAGTGAGATCAATCGTCACTGTGTGCTCCATACTGATGGCCTTGTGCCATAACTAAGCTAAACTTAAGTAAATGAACTTGAAAATAAAGAGCTAGTTTGGTTGAATAATACTACTGAGTAGTGTGTTCAATCCTTAATAGTTGCTCTATACTAGTGGCCTTGTGCCTGAACTAAGATATCCCTAATTGATAAATAAATAAATGAAAAAAAAAACACTTCATCGTCGTGTATTGATTACCAATCTGTTATCGTGGATCAGTTAAGAGCAAGGTTTGGGGTTCGATCAACATAGATGGCAGCATACTTTTGTTCTTACGGCAGATCTAAACTATTCTTAATTAATAACAAATAATTCTAAAGATAGGAAGTTGTGGATGACTATGATAGTTCACGCCCTGAAGGGACACGCATATTACTTCTTTGTTCAAAAGTCTCCCAAGAGATGTTTTTTTGTTTCCGGTCACTATAATCTTAATCTGTTCAAGTCGAGAATCAACTATCATCTTCCCCTCAAATCCATATGAAATACTCCTTAAGGTAACCCTGTACCCTGAGTGCCCCTGGGTGTGGTACAGGGCGAAACTTACAGTAATATATATATATATATATATATATATATATATATATATATATATATATATATATATATATATATATCCTAAAGAGCCAGGAAATATCTACCTAGGTTTCACCTAAATTGATAAATTGATCTTCAGTGTAAGCCAGCTGACCCTGAAGATCCATTTAGGTAGGTAGTTCCCGGCTCTTTAGGATTTATTTTATTTCACTTTGCTCTACTCAGCGTATTGAACGCTCTACCTTTTTATCTTAGTTACTCGTTTGGGTTTTTTTTTTTTTGTACTGGAAATTTAAGGCATTTGACGATTTTTTTCGCCCTGTTCGGATGTTTTTTTTTTCTTTGGACGAAGAACTTAAGGCACTTGACGATTTTTTTCGCCCTGTTCGGATGTTTTTTTTTCTTTTGACGAAGAACTTAAGGCACTAGACGATTTTTTTCGCCCTGTTCGGATGCTTTTTTTTTCTTTGGACGAAGAACTTAAGGCACTAGACGATTTTTTTCGCCCTGTTCGGATGTTTTTTTTTTCTTTGGACGAAGAACTTAAGGCACTAGACGATTTTTTTCGCCCTGTTCGGATGTTTTTTTTTTCTTTGGACGAAGAATTAATCCAATCTAAATCCTTTTTCATATTGAGTAAATCAAGTTTGAATACAATGCAGTCCGGCTGTAAAATAGAAGGATCGTGTTGTTGACGATGGGTTAACTGCTTCTAAAATGAATATCTGAAATCTTGTACTTTGGCCCGAACACCGACCACTTGAGTACGGTGCTGGCCATCTTAGATGTTGTAACTTAGGAAGATTGTATTGCGTCAATATTTATGCGAGACTCATAGTTCCTACTTCTAAAATGAATATTTGAAATCATGCACTTTAACTCATCCAACGGAAACTTAACTACGGTACGGGCTTATTGTGATGTAGAAAGATTGTGCAGCGTCGATTTCTTTTTTACGTTAGGAAGAGCTGACCTGCTTCGAAGATTAATATCTGAAATCTTACACCTATATTCAATCACCAACCCCTGCACTCAGCAAAAAATACGTAGTTTTCACAATCACTAAGTAACTGGTGTGTATTAAGATTAATCAAAACCCTTTACACCTCTTTCGCTTACTAAATGGAATATTAGTACTAAATAACAAGGCCTATGATAGTTATAATAGGTAATAATAATGTTAATAGCTAATAATAATCTATGGTTGGCCACACGTATTCGAGGATATCCGTCTACTAGGGCGACTAGCCAATCCCTATTGCAGACGCTTGTTCAGGCGCATTTTTGTTTATTCAACACCCACAGATCCCACCTGTGGTTTATACTGCATATGTGGAAACCTTAATTGCAGTTTCTTGGAAAGAGCGTGTTATCTAGCGTGATCAACAATTTGAATAAGCCCAGCACGCTAAAACCCTCCGTCACGATGACTTAGGACTTCCTGCTAGCGCAACTATCGAAGGTCCCCCAAGTGTTCTGTCTACTCAATTTCACTAACAAGGCTTGAGTCAACCCGTGGTATGGTTTTAAGGCACTTTTGTCCTCCCCAGTCTAATAACACCAGTAAGACAAATCGACTATGGTGAGATTCGAACCCGGGTCTCATGGTCAGTAGGCGAGCATTCTAACCATTCGGCTATGTGCCCATGGTTAATAATAATAATGAGATCACAAAAAAAAAAAAACAAACAGAATATGCCCTCTTACCGTCCTTGCAGATTGTAATGTATCTTTGAAGATCTTTAAAAAAAAATCTATCAAAGTACAACGACCTTGAAATCGAAATCTCAAAAATGCGGCACGTGAGGACATCAATAATTCCAGTTTTAGTTGGAGCCCTCGGTTTGATTGGAAAATACCCGATAGACTCATTAATGGGATCCCTTCTAACCCATGTCTTAAAGAAATACTCACAGCTAACACCTCGTAACTTAGGAAGATTGTATTGCGTCAATATTTATGCGAGGCTCATAGTTCCTACTTCTAAAATGAATATTTGAAATCATGCACTTTAACTCATCCAACGGAAACTTAACTACGGTACGGGCTTATTGTGACGTAGAAAGATTGTGCAGCGTCGATTTCTTTTTTACGTTAGGAAGAGCTGAACTGCTTCGAAGATTAATATCTGAAATCTTACACCTATATTCAATCACCAACCCCTGCACTAAGGCCTTTATCTATGTAAAATGTATGTGACCTTGTTTTTTTTTTAATTTTTAAAAAATTGCTCAGTGGAAAATGTCATGATGTCATTTCTGACCTTAGGTCTCTTGTTGGGACCCATAAAGGAAATATAATAATAATAATAATAATAATAATAATAATAATAATAGTAATCATCATCATCTGCGCAGGACCAATGCTTGCTAACTAGGAATTATCAAGCACATATACTAAAATATTGTGTCAGCCCAAAATGCAGATTCTGTGATAAATATCCAGAAACTATTGATCATCTTGTATCAGGTTGCACGATATTGACACCCACTGAATATAAAACCCGACATGACAGAGTGGGCCAATATCTGCACTGGAAAATCTGCAACTTCTACGGGAAGGAAACTGAAAGAAACTGGTATGAACACCACCCAGACCTAGTTACGGAGATAGGACCTGTTACAATTCTATGGGACTACACAATACACACTGACAGAACAATCAAGGCCAACCGGCCAGATATTGTTATTAAAGACCACAAACAAAAACGATGCCTCCTTATTGATATGGCAGTCCCTGCTGACTGCAATGTATCTTTGAAGATATTCAAAAAGTTGTCAAAGTACAAGGACCTTGAAATAGAAATCTCGAAAATGTGGCATATGGGAACATCAACAATCCCTGTTGTAGTTAGAGCCCTAGGACTGGTTGGAAAAGATTGCAGTAGACTAATTGAAGGGATTCCTGGAAGTCCATGCCTCAAGGAGATACAAAAAATTGTTCTGACAAGTACAGCCCACACCTTACGAAGGGCTTTATCTATGTAATTTAATTCTTTTTTTTTTTTTTCTTTTTTTTTTTGTCAGTGGAAAGTGTCATGACGCCATTTCTAACCTTAGGTCCCTGGCCGGGACCCGGAAAGAAATGTGTAAACGCCAGAAATCAAAGAAAATAAAAATAATAATAATAAAAACTGTAACAGTGCTTGGAAAGTGTTGTTATGTAATAGTCATTCCTATATAGCAATGAATAAAAGACCATCACCGCAGAGATGAAGAAGAAACATCAGGCGACAGAAATGTGGTTCTACAGAAGGATACTGAGCATAACGTCGACGGTGTATGCGACTAAGCAACGACGTTTTAGAGAAAATAGAAACAAAAAAGATACTTCTAATCAACATGAGAAAGAGATAGTTGAAATTCCTCAGGTACATAACGAGGAAAAAGGGTTTGGAAAAAGTGACACTCACAGGACAAATTGATGACAAGAGGGAGAACAGCGTATGACCTACCTAACGAACTCGTGTAAACGGATGGCCGAACAGGGTTTAGAGTAGATAGCGAAAAGACAACATTTCCTAAGAGTTGCAAAAGCGAGGAAGATGTGGAGGGCCATGATTTCAACGTCCTGAAAAGACACGGCCTATAGAAGTAGAAAAGTGTTTAAGACAGAGATAAATATGGTAGACAAACTGCGACAGTGAAACTCGTTCCCTCGTACCAGAAGCCAAACAATAGCTCCTGCTGCAGTTAGCTGGAGTCGTGTGTACTTTTAGATGTTGACGTCACAACGCACAGTGATTCGTGGTTGTTGGGAGTTACTGTTGTTGTTGCTGTGGTGGTGGTGGTGATGATGATGATGATGATGATGATGATGATGATGATGATGATGGTGGTGGTGGTTTGATCGGGGTGGTTTGAGGGTGTTTGCAACCGAATAACGTCACAGGCAGCAGCAGGGTACACTGACTTCGATTACGTAAGAAGAAATGAAGAAAAGAGCGAAGCGGAAGACGAGTGGCGGAGAAGTCGGCTGAGAGGAAGCAAATTAAATGGGAGAGCGAGAAAGAAGAAGAAGAAGAAGAAGAAGAAGAAGAAGAAGAAGAAGAAGAAGAGATAAAGGGGAAAAGGAGAGCCAAAGAAGATAGCCGAGGGGCGGCAGATTATAAGAAAGAGAGAGATAGAAAAAAAGAAGAAAAGAGTGGAGAGGAGAGGCGTAGAAGACGCTGAGAGGCGGCAAATTATAAGAAGAAGAAGAAGAAGGAGGAAGAGGAGGAGGAGACGGGGAAGTGTTCGGCGAGAGGCGGGAAATTAAAAGAGAGATAAAGAGAGAAAGAAGAAGAAAGTACAGGAAAGGGAAGAGAAAGAGAGAACTATGGAAGACCGCAAATTAAGTGATAGAGGGAAGAAGAAGAAGAAGAAGAAGAAGAGGAAGAAGAGGAAGAAGAAGAAGAAGAAGAATAGG